TTAAAAAACTAGCATATCTACTCTATTAAAATAGAGTCATTCTTTTTATCTACTGATACAAATTGTCATTTAAATTTAGACCCTTTCTAGAATGTTACAAATAATATAAGTCATATAATTGATTGAACCATATTACTTAAATTAAACCAACACAATTAATGTAAAGAGACGATCTTAATGTAAACTACCTTCAGATATGGCAGGTATCTATGTGTATACCAAAAACACATATTTTCTCCTACAAATATGGAATGTTCTAAAAGAATATATATCATCAAAATATGGAATATGGAAATCTACTAATTATACTTAAATTAAACCAGTGGTTATTTATGAAATATAGTCTTTGGCTTACTTTTATTTTTTGAACAAATTATATAGTTTGGTTTTTGAGCTTAGTATTAAGAAAAAAACTCTAAAAACATTGAATAAACTTTTCACCTTAAAAGATCAAAAAATCAATTATTATTTTCAGACCCAAAAGGTATTTAATATTTTTAACAAAAAAAATTATCTATTATTAATCATTTATTTAAATCATGTACTTTAAAAAATGTTAATATATTTTTTTATTCTAAATAAAAATGAGTTTGTTTTGATAAATTTCAAGGGTAACTTTTAAATAATTTATTGTTTTATTTTTCTTAAATAATTTACTGATTAAAAAAATGTAAAGCAAAACCAAAAACCAAATCTAAAAACTAAAATCCAAAACCAAAAGCTGAAAACACATGTTATATTTTTTACTTTGTTTATTTACAAAATAAACTATTTCAAATTTTTTTTAAAAAAAATTTGTTGTCATCTTTTCAGTTTTGAATTAGATGTTCGATTATTTGAGATTTGTTTGTTGGTAATATTAGTTCAAACTAACTCAACGGGTTTAAAAATTAAAAACCCAAACCAAAAACTGAAAATGAAAAGTAGAAACTTAAAAACTAAAAACCAAAATCTAAAAATAAAAACTTAAACTAAAAACTAATGAAAAATAATCATCACCACAAATTTTGGTGAACTGATTTTATATCAAAATATTTTTTAAACTAAGAAAAAACCCAATTATATAAATTTTTGATCATAAAAAATTTCCGTGCTTTCAAGCGCGGGTCAAAATCTAGTATTCTATTAAAATAGAGTCATTCTTTTTATCTACTGATACAAGTTGTCATTTAAATTTGGATCATTTCTAGAATGTTACAAATAATATAAGTCATATAATTGATTGAACCGTATTTACTTAAATTAAACCAACACAATTAATGTAAAAAGACGACATTAATGTAAACCTAGAATGTTACAAATAATATAAGTCATATAATTGATTGAACCGTATTTACTTAAATTAAACCAACACAATTAATGTAAAAAGACGACATTAATGTAAACTACCTTCAAAATACGGCAGATATTTATGTGTATACCGAAAACACATATTTTCTCCTACAAATATGGAATATTCTAAAAGAATATATATCATCAAAATATGGAATATGGAAATCTACTAATTATACTTAAATTAAACCAGTGGTTATTTATGTAATACAGTCTTGGGTTTACTTTTATTTTTTGAACAAATTATATAGTTTGGTTTTTGGGCTTAGTATAAGAAAAAACTGCAAAAAACATTGAATAAAATTTTCACCTTAAAAGATCAAAAAAATCAATTATTATTTTCAGACCGAAAAGGTATTTAATATTTTTAAGAAAACAAAATTATCTATTATTAATCATTTATTTAAATCATGTACTTTAAAACATGTTAATATATTTTTTGTTTTAAATAACAATCACTTTGTTTTGATAAATTTTAATTGTAACTTTTAAATAATTTATTGTTTTATTTTTCTTAACTAATTTACTGATTAAAAAAATGTAAAGCAAAACCAAAAACCAAATCTAAAAACTAAAATCCAAAATCAAAAGATGAAAACACATATTATATTTTTTTGCTTTGTTTATTTACAAAATAAACTATTTCAATTTTTTTTAAAAAAAAATTGTTTTCATCTTTTCAATTTTAAATTAGATGTTCGATTATTTGAGATTTATTTGTTGGTAATATCAGTTCAAACTAACTTAGCGGGTTTAAAAATTAAATACCCAAACCAAAAACTGAAAATGAAAAGTAGAAACTTAAAAACTAAAAACCAAAAACCAAAATCTAAAAATAAAAAAAAAACTAAAAACTAATGAAAAACAATCATCATCACAAATTTTGGTGAACTGATTTTATATCAAAATATTCTTTAAATTAAAACAAATCCCAATTATATAAATTTCTAATCATAAAAAATTTCCGCGCTTTTAAGCGCGGGTCAAAATCTAGTTTGTACTATTAAAACATAATCCTTCTTAGAATTATGTCTTTGATTTTTCAGAAGATTACAAAATCATACCACTAATTTTTATTAAAGTTAAAGAATCAAATATTCCCTATATTTATGGGAACTATAATATTTTCCGTATTTTTGTCAAAGGTAATAATTCTGATTTTTATGCTAATTATACTTTTCATTTAATTTTAATATATTTTTTTGTAAATAATAATATTACAAGATCGAATATAGGTAGATACATGAAGTTTAAAAAAATAGTATTTACTATGTATTTGTATACATAATATTAATATGTCAATTTTGAGTGTTCAAAAATAATTTAAAACGTATCATAAAATTTAATTTTAGATCTAACATAAATAAAAATATAAAAATAACATAGGTTATTAAACTAATATTGTCATATTAAAAAAAATATTTTTTCTATTACCATTGTTTCGTTTTCTTCAAATAACATAATAATTTTATTTGAGATACTAATTTTTTTTAGTATTAGAAAAATTTGTCTTTTTCTATTACCATTGTTTCGTTTTCTTCAAATAACATAATAATTTTTTTTGAAATACTAATTTTTTTTAAATACCCTAAACCCTTACATAATAAAACAGTTTTTTGAAATACTAAATTTGGTTGTTTAATTAAAGTTATAGATTTAATCAAATTATTAGAATGGAAAAACATCCGAGCTTTTAAAGCGCGGTTCAAAATCTAGTTGGAACATTAAAATTAGATGTTTCTTACCACGACGAATTATCTTAGCCTCATCCATATTCGTCACAGCATTTTCTTCCTCCTTGCAAGGATTGATTCATGGAGTTTGGATCATGCCCTTCCCGAACGCAATGAAGCTGTAGCGGCAATTGCTTTGGCGTCACGCGTGACCTTCGTCATCAATCCTACATCGCCAGTAACGCTCCGGTGTGGCTTCATCATCTACTCGCGTTGGAGGCTCAGCAATGAGGTTTTGTCTCACCCGGAATGGTCAATCCCAATCATACGACGTTCGAGATGCACCGGCTTGACTTCAGCATTTACTCACTATGGAACCTCGACAATAATGGGGGTGGGTGAGATTTACTTTCTTTCTCCTTGTTTGTGTGGTGTCTATTGACATCCTATTTAATTTCTGAATTTTTGTTTTGTATCATAAAGATTATTTTTACATGTTCAAGTGTTATAAAAAAAAAAGAACCTATTTAAGAGCTGCCCTAATAAACATGATCTAAGAGAGACAAACTCTCGGGTATTTGAACAGATTTCTAAAGGAAATATTATTCTCTCTATTCCTAAAAGATCTATATTCTAGAGAAAAATTTTGTTTCTAAAAGTTATATTTTTTTTTTCATTTTCAGTGCATATTTTATTAAGTAATTCCAAATTTCAAAAAACTTAATTGCACTTATTAGAATTTTTATTGGCTTAAAATTATGGGAAAAAGCTAATAATAAAAAACTATGCAAATTTAATATGTGTTTCTTAATATATGTGAAATAGAAAATATAGACTTTTTTAGGAACGGAGGGAGTATACATTTCTCCATTCGAAAAAAAAAAAGCTCAAAAGCACTTTCTATTTTCTAACATTAATATATTGTTCTTTCCACTACCAACGTAGTTGAACTTATGGCACACGTAAATAAAAATATATTAGTTTATCTAATACACTATTTTAAACACAAGTATGATTAAAAGATCTAAAAATGACGCTGTATTAGTCAAATTATTTTGTTATGTTCCACCTACGGCAATTTAGTTGGATTTGCTTGCTGTAGAACAATTTACAATTGTTAAATATGATGAATACATAAGTTCGTAAAAAAATAGGCCCAATTCAGTTTTAGTCCAGTTTGAAAGTCCCAGCAAAAAGCCCAAATCCAAGTGTCAGCCCAGAGAAATCCTCTTTTTGTCACAAGCCCAGAGAAGTACTACAGCTGGCGGTTTCTCGTGTCCATTGCTTCCTCTGTAATAAACCAGGCACCAGCCCTTCTTCTCTGTCTTGACCACAGATGATGATGAATTGATGATGATGACTTTTTGTCCATGGGACGCCTTTAGACTCACCTTCTTTCACCTGAAAAGGAAACTTACATAATGAAAGTAAAGAGACTATAAGATTAAAGCATCCACAGAATCAACATAGGAGCAACTCAGGACTTGCCTTTAGCCAGATCTTTCTATTAATAAAAGTGTCTGCAGGAGTTTGTATATCATTGCAAGAGTCTTTCCTCACATTATGAGCTCTATCAGGACTTGAGTTTGATTTTCCTTTTTTTAAGTTTAGGATATTTATCCTTTTTTAATTATGTTTAGTATATTTTCCTAATAATCGATATGTATAAAAGGATACTTTACGGTGGTTAATAATAAAGTTTGATTTTCCTTTTATAAGTTTGATTTTCCTTTTTTTTTTTAAGTTTAGGATCTTTATCCTTTTTTAATTAAGTTTACTATATTTTCCTAATCGATATGTATAAAAGGATACTTTACGATTAATAATAAAGTTTGATTTTCCATTTTTTTTTTTTAAGTTTAGGATCTTTATCCTTTTTTAATTAAGTTTAGTATATTTTCCTAATCGATATATGTATAAAAGGATACTTTACGGTGGTTAATAATAATAAATCAACTGCTCCTTCTCTCTGCAAAACCCTAACCGAAAGTAACGATGCCGGGTACGACGACGAAGGACGCCGAATCAATAGAACCACAGTCCCTAAAACGAGCACTTGATCTCCCTCCTCCTGTTCCCGAAGCGAAGAAGATTCGTCTCAGCCATAAGATAAAAGTTGCTTTTGGAGGCGTGGAGCCTGTGAGCCAGACAGGAACCTCAAGTGCAAGTGTATCCTCCTTGCATGAAAGAAACTTCTCAACTTCGGCATTAATGGAGAGTACTAGATGGCCTCGCCCAGAGTGGCATGCACCATGGAAGAATTACAGGGTCATTCAGGGGCACTTGGGTTGGGTCAGATCTGTCGCCTTTGATCCCAGTAATAAATGGTTTTGTACTGGTTCAGCTGATCGTACCATCAAGATGTGGGATGTTGCAACTGGAGTTCTGAAGCTAACACTTACTGGTCACATCGACCAAGTACGAGCCCTTGCTGTAAGCAACCGACACAAATACATGTTCTCCGCTGGTGATGACAAGCAAGTCAAATGCTGGGACCTTGAGCAGAACAAGGTTATCCGGTCTTATCATGGTCACTTGAGTGGAGTCCATTGCTTAGCTCTTCACCCGACTGAAGACGTTTTACTAACCGGAGGGCGAGACTCTGTCTGCAGGGTGTGGGATATTCGCACCAAGAGGCAGAGGTTTGCACTCACGGGACATGACAACACCGTTTGTTCTGTTTTCACTCGTCCAACACACCCACAGATTGTAACTGGATCTCATGACACGACTATTAAATTCTGGGACCTTCGATATGGCGGCAAAGCTATGACGACTCTAACACATCACAAGAAATCTGTCCGAGCAATGACCCTTCATCCTAAAGAGGATGCGTTTGCTTCTGCGTCAGCTGACAACACTAAAAAATTTAGCCTTCCAAAAGGAGAGTTTTGCCACAACATGCTGTCGCAGCAGAAAACCATAATTAACGCAATGGCGGTGAACGAGGATGGTGTAATGGTCACTGGAGGTGATAATGGAAGCATATGGTTCTGGGACTGGAAGAGTGGTCACAGTTTCCAACAGTCACAAACTAGTGTACAACCTGGTTCACTGGAGAGTGAAGCGGGTATATACGCAGCGTGTTATGATCAGACAGGTTCACGACTGGTAACATGCGAGGCTGATAAGACGATCAAGATGTGGAAACAAGATGAGAATGCAACTCCAGAAACTCACCCTGTCAATTTCAAACCACCCAAGGTGATTAGGCGCTTCTGATAAATTTACTCTTCTCTTACTGTTTGTATCTTGAAAACTATTGTTGGAGTCTCACTATTCTTCATGATTCTGTTTTCTTCTGGAAGATTACAAGGGTGCCTTGTTTTTTATTGAGAAAAAAGTGACATGTACTCAATTTTCAAGGCATTTGTTGTAATTTGTTCATCTATACTATAAGAGCAGGATTTTACCCTTAAATTTTCATCAAACTTACAAGATAATACCATTCCTTATTTTGAGAGTTTTTATTCACTATAATTGGCTAGAAATATAAACCAATTGTTAGCAAGTATTTAGTAACCAATCATATTGCATCATTTGTTATTGTCTCTTATACAACAAAACCAATAAAAAGAGTACCTTTTTTGAATACCCTAAGCCATTACCTTAACTTACAAACAATAAACCCTATATTACAATTACATTTTTGATGGAACCAAAAATTTAGAACTCTACTAAATTTTAACAATAAACTATATAAGCTTAAAGAAGTTAACATAGGGTTATACATATACTATTCTCTTCATAAAAAACAAAATCTTGCCTACAAAACGTCTTTATACCAAATGTATCACATTATTTGAAGCTACATTTTTAAGTTAACAAAAAAGATTTTATAAATAGCATATATATATATATATAATAATATCTAATTTAAAATTTATTGAATATTCTCAAATCTAGGTTAGAAATTATTTTGAACAATTATTTGATTTTGTTTGATCTATGCGGAGGCCGGTTCACATTCACAATGTAAATTCTCACGTATCAATTTGTTACTAATTATTTTTATGGTTTTTAACTAAATTTTACATTATTTTGAATCCACTAAACATGAAAACCGTAGATTTTTATATTTTTTATACATGAATTACATTGATTTAATTATCTGTTTTTTGAAAATAAAAATCTAAGCATTGTTTTTATATTTCTTAGAAATGAATTAAATCATTGTATAATAAAAATACAATACAAATAGTTTTTTTCTAAAAGTTAAATGATTTTAGTCATTCAAAATAAACCCAAACCGGTCTAAAAAGATGATCAATACAATTACATGAATCTAAATAGATAAAATTATTGAGAACCTAAAATTAAATGGGTTCATTCGAGACGTAAATACGTTCGTAAAAATTGAGAAAGATTTAAATAAGGTGGACTACCATTTTAAAATTCTTAACAAAACATTTGATGATTTTTTATTATATTTTTACAATGTATACTATTCCACGCTTTTGGATAATGTATTACATTATCATTATTTTACTTAGATTTATCTAAAATTGGAGGATTTGGTGACTACCATTTGATTTTTGATGATTTTAAAATTGGTATACCATATATAGTTCTATATATAAAACACAAAATAATTTATTTTTGAATTTTACATCATATTCGCATAAGGGATAACTATTTCATAGGATTTATTTATAAATTTCTTGATTTATGTAATGAAAATGAATTATTTTCTTTATATATGTATTTCATGAGAATAATATATGTCAATATATGCTATATACGGGTTATATACATGTCGACAGGCCTATCAGTTCGACCACGAGTTTAGATTGGATAAGAAAATATTTTCTGAAACTCAAACCTTATAATATTATAACTTAAAAATTATATGTTTTAATATAAAAATAGAAAATTTATGCAAATTTTATCAAAATAGTCAATAAATAAAATATCTGCGCTTTAAAAGCGCGGGTCAAAATCTAGTGTAATTTTAATGTTTAAGAATACAATGTACTTCTCTTTAAAAAAAAAACTAGGTGAAAAACGTACGAGAGAGAAAAACGCTGCGTTTTGGAAAGTGCGATATTGAAGGCGATTTTGAGTGCGATTTTTCTAGGGTTCCAGTAATGGATTCGGCGCCTCCGCCGGAACTACCAGATCCTCAAGCGATAGCTCAGGAGAGATTAGCGACACGAGATGGGAAGGTTTCGAAGGCTCATCGGATCGGATTATGAGTTTGAAGAAAGGGGAAAAGTCTTGAGTCGAGATGGCTCAGGATAAGAAATTTTTGAAGAAGCACGAGGTGGAGGTTTTGACTAAATATGGTAAGCACAGGGTGGAGATTCCAGGAGAGATTCTCAAGGATTCAACTCCTTTATGGGAAGAATTTTGGTCGGGAAGTTTCTCGATTTGGCTCCTCATGTTGCGAAAGTTCATATGGTGGTAAACAAGATCTGGCGTTATGGGGATACGGCTGCTAAAGTGGATGTATTCAATATGAATGCTACAACGATGAGGTTCAGAGTCATAAATCCAAAGACTCGAGAAAAGATACTACGAAGAGGTATGTGGACCATCGCTGGAGTACCTATGGTTATCTCGAAATGGACACCAAAAACAGAGGAGGAGAAGCAAGAAGAAGAAGAAGCAATTCCAATGTGGGTTCATCTGAAGAATGTCCCTCACCAAAGGTTCTCCTGGGAGGTGCTCAGTCTCATGACGAGCACTGTAGGATTCCCAGTGAAGGTTCACCCTGATATTATCTTGTGCACAGACGTGGAAGTGGCAAAGGTGTTTATGAAAGTTGATGTATCAAAGGTATTGCCAAAGGAAATCACAGTAGTGTTTCATTACCCGTGGTTGCCATCGAGATGTAATCTTTGTGGCAAAATGGGGAATGTTGAAAAGGTGTGTGGGATGAAAGGAAAAATGGAGAAAACTGAAAGCTCTGGCTCTCGCTCTCACCCTAAGGAAGAGGAAGAGATAACTAAAGAAAAATAGATTGGGCTTGAGGAGTTGATAAAAGAGGAGGTCACTATTGGGAAGAACACTGAGGAGGTTGATGAACAACGGGAGACAATACAAGTCAAGGATACTGATAAGGATCTGAGTAAGGGAGATACTACAAATTAATGGGTCTCTCCAATGATAGTAGGGAGGTATCAAACTAACTTGCCGCAGAGGGATGTAAATGATTATCAGATTTCAGAATCTAAATATTCTATTTTGTGTTTGGAATATGTTGAGGACGGGGAGATATTGGGGGAAGAGAAGTAGAATACTGAAATAGAGGTTAATGAAGAGATCAATGAAGAGGAGGTTCAGATAGATGAATTAGAGAGTGACTTGATGGAAGACTCTATTCTAGATCAACAAGTTAAGGAGAAGGATAAGGCAGTGATGAAAAAGGGGTTGAAGAGAGGTCAGAAGACTAAAGCTCAGGAGGTTTATCCACTTAAGTTGGTACTACCTCTTCGCGGACCCATATCATATTGGCCAAGAACTTCTTGTGACTCTTCGGTACTAGCTCCACCAGAATCTCTCAGGGACAATATTTCAAGAGGCTTCAAACAATATTAAGCTCGTCAACACCAAGCATTCAAACAATATTAGGTCTGTTGGTTTCTGGCATAAACTTCTTTTGCTGGAAAGAGTTGTTAACGGAGAAGAGACTTGAAAAACCAGAATTTTCGCCGGTCTCAGCCACCTCGCCGGAGAAGAGAGTGGTGAAGATCCCTGATTGGGTCTGAAGTTCTTCTGCCTTTGTCTTCGTTGTTGTCTTCTTCCCCATATCCTTGTTCGATTTCAAAGCGAAAGATGAAGAGAGAGATCGATCAAATCGAAATAGGAAGAGAGAGAGCAAAGAGCCCATCTGATTGTTAATGTTTCCGATCAAAAATCTTTGACAAGTAAAAGTGGTGGTACAAACGAAGAAAAAAAGGTAAAGCACAAGAAAAAATGATGTGGAGAGAAAATATTTTGATTGGTTTTTACAGTTTTTTTAATTATTGACATGGCAGTCTCACGTGTATTTTAAAATCTGATGTGTCATGCTCTGGAAAGAATCTTGTGTTTTTATTGTGTTGATTAGTGATATATATATAAAAGGCCTTGAGGTACAAGAAATACTTTTCACTATGTTGAGTATACTAAATTTCACTTTTACCTCAAGGCACAAGAAATACTTGTAAGATATAAAGGTTCACCGGAACAATTGAGTTCTCATCTATTGTTCATACATACAGACTTTTTTTCTTGTGAAACATACACACATAAACAATATTATTACACATTCAAAAGAAAAACAGAATCAGAAAAGAAAATCAATTAAAAATAAATGCTGACCATCGATCTGCTTTGCCTCTCCTCGCAATACTTCATCAGCAAGTTCAAGTTTTGACGCTTAGTAAACCCGACATGATGTTGCCAACGACAGCCACCAAGAAGATGAAGACAATGATCATGTTCATGAGGTAGATGTACTGTGTGTTCTTGAAGTTTGTTTTGTCCATTGCTTCCTCTGTATTAAACCAGCCCTTCTTCTCTGTCTTCACCATAGATGATGATGACTTCTTGTCCATGGATGCATCAACGGCTTTAGACTTGCATTCTTTCACCTGAAAAGGCAAATACATCATCATTAGTGTAAGTAAAGAGATGATAAGATACAAGGAAAATCAAGATGGGAGCAGCTCAAAGACCTCTTGTTTTGATGGTACCATGCGCCGTGTGAAATGAGATGTCCGGGTCTTTCTATTAATAGAAGTTTCTGCATGAGGTTGTGTATCTTTGCAGGAGTCTTTCCTCAACGCTGGAATCTCGTCTACAATAGGGTGGAAGTGTCTACTCGAATTGTGAACGCTATCTGGACTTGATATTCCTTGGTAACTCTGGTTATGTTGGAATGAAAATCTGAGTGTTAGTATATATACATATTAAGTCCTATGAAAGTAATGATGTGATGTGATGTTGGTTTTACCGTTGCAAATATGGATTCAGCATCATCGCTATCACTGCTATTATCAGTAAGGGTCCCTGTTAAAGGCTTCTTTGGCATGTGATCGTTGCGGTGCTGCGTCATTATGATGTCTAGATAACTAGGCACATAATCATCTTCGCAGGGAGCTTGTGGCTGCTGGTAAGGGTAGTAGTTGTTGTTTAAAAACGTGTCGGTATTGAATAGAGAGGGATCATCTTGCTCGTTCAGTAGGTTTTCCAAATCATCCACAGACATACCAAGATGATCTTCCCTTGGTTGCTCAACCTGAATATGTTAAAAGAGAGGCTAGTAAAGTAAAGAAACATTCTTGATGATAGTACTAATGAAAAACTAAAACACGTGTCAGAAACTGGACACACCTCGGGGGTTGTGTTCATCTCTCTGGCAGTATTGGGAACAGAGACTATGGTGGAGTGGTTTAACTCATAGGACTTATTACCGAATAAACTGTCTCCGTCAACACCTTTGTACTTCACTTTGCAGATAACATAGTTGCTCTGTAACAAAATTCAGAAAGGTTTCACAAACACATGAATTTCATTTGATACCAGACAAAAAATATATTAGGATATACAATAAAAGTTTGATTTTTTTTTTTTAAGTTTAGGATCTTCTCCTAATATAAGCTTTTGATGTTTATCTTTTTAAGTTTAGTATATATTCCTAAACTATTTATAGGAAATCAATATGTGACGTATAATAAAATATTTTAAAATTAATAATAAATCAACTTTCAACAATTAACCTTTAACTCCAAGAGAGCTTTTAGGGCCAAGAAAAAGTTTTATTATATTTTCTGAGTGCGTAAAAGCAAAAGATACAGGCTCACATCGCATCACTCAAATAAATTATACCACAACAAGCTTTGACAGAAGCAACAAAAAAGTTAAGAGCATGATCAATGCAAGGTTTTAAAGGGATGTTTAGGAGGGAGAGACCATAAAAAGAAGAAAAAACAAGAAGCATGGCTATCAAAAATGCTTGAATAAGCAGTAGAGTTTATCCTGTTTCGCGGTCCCATACCATGTGATGACTCACGATTGGTGAATTTTTAATTTTTTTTTTTAAAATGAAAAAAGTAAAAAATAATAAATAATAAATAATAAATACTCCTAGCATTAATCATGCTCTAAGCCACAAGAAGTATAAGAACACCATTATCCCAAAGGAAAATGGGGTGCTTAGCCAATAGAGGCCCATCATTCATTTTTAATTTTTTTTTAATTAGACAAAAAAAAATGAGCACCCTCAAATGGGGATTGGAATAATGGTGCTCTAACACTTCAAACCTCCAACTGGGCTAACAGGTAGCAACCAACACAGAGCATAATACAAGAAAAGATAAAACATAACACTAATTCAACTAACACAAACTTTTTGTAACTAACACAGAATCTCAAAATGAGTTATCAAACTGAATCTAAAAGATAATATACCTGGTTAAAAGGCCAGGAAGTGATGTGATACTCGTCCATAACCCAAGGGGTCTTAACACCATTCGCTGATCTACCTTGATGGTACACAAGCGTCTTCTTGATCCCGATCGCTTCTTCACCGTATCCTCTCTTGTCTTTGATCTCCTGAGGCTTACCAGTAACTTTCCAAAACCCATTAGGTGTTGTCCTCTTCGTTCCCTTCTTCGTCTTATCAGGTGCGTAGTACTCCCTGATAGAGAAGAAGTACCATTCGAGATCGTTTGTTTTCAGCTTCGATAACACTGCAACCACACACATGTACACACAAAATTAAAAAAAAACTTAGAAATGATCGACGTTGATCTTTGAAATTGAGAGAGAGAAAGATAATGAACTTACAAGGCAAGGACTTTGGATCGTAATCACAGAAGTTGATCTCGCTAATGGCATCGTCTACGAATAGTTGACCAAGAATCTTGTTCTTGAGGTAATAGTTGATCAGTTCCTCTTTCGTAGGACTAAACCTATACCCCACGAGATTCCTCTCCATTTTTACACACAAAAATAAAGATCTAAAATCAAAACTAAAAACTAGGGTTTAAGAGAAGAAGGGTTTCTTCTCTCTGTTTTTTTTTTGTTTCTCTGTTTTTTGTTTTTGGAAATACAAGTGGACTGGTGTGGTGTTGTTCAGTATTTATGCACACCTCACTCTAGCGTCTTTGACATTAATAAAACAAATTAATTTCAGTAATTTCTCAAAAAGTTATCAGATTACCTTGCCGACAGTGTTTTCAGATACGGTCCGACCAGTAAACTCAGTGACCCAATAACTAATCCGGTTTGGGTTTTAAAAAATATCCACTAATTTAAAACTTGATAAAACTCGCTAAAAATCCTTAACCCGGTGATTCGGCTATCGGTTAAACCATCAGATGAACCAATGAATTATTTTTATTTAGTTTTTGTTAGGTTTTTAACTATTTTATTAAATATTTTTGTGTATCCAAAATAAGAAGTTAGATTTTTACATTTTATTTTTTATTTTTCTCATAAAATTATTGTTTTTCGTGCTATCGCATATATTTTATATCTCCTTTAATTTTCTTTTAAAACTTTTGTCGATTTCTTATGTGATAAATGACATTTGATTTTAATTTTTAGGTTCTAACTTTTATCATATAAACTTCATTTTATTCTAACCACATGCTTTTATTTTATTTTATTTTCTTGATTTTACATGTTTATAAATAAATATTGTTTTCGTTAATCAAATTTATTGATCTTATTTAATTTTTCAAAATCATATATATTATTAACTAAACCATTTATTGATTTTGTGAACGTTGCATTATGCCTCTTAAAGAAAATATATTGAATAATGATAAATATCTAAAACTTATGAGATTTAAGTATTGTTATGAACTACTATATGTTTCAACTCCTAATTTCTTATAAAAAATTTTTAAATAGTCTAATCTAATTTTAAATATTTAATATGTGAAATAAAACAAAAATAAAGAGAGAGAATTTAAATAATTTTTATGTTTTTTAAGAAATGTGAAATTTTTCCTATATTTTTAATAGTTAATATATAATTATTTATTCAAATTAATTAATGTATTGACCTGGTTCACCCGTGGTTGATCCAGTAACCCGGTGACCCGGAAAGGTGTTCGATTCAATGTCCGATTCAGTGTCTGGATCAAGTTTAAAAACCTTGCTTGTCGACATGTAGCTCTTTAAGCATAGCTAAACAGTGTGTGTCTTTTCGTTTTATTTTTATTTTTCTGATTTTATTTTTGTTTTTTCTCTTGCTAAATTTATAGATTATTTATTTGATTCTCACATTTATATAAAAGTTAGTTTAACAAAATATCAGATTTATTAATTAAATAATATCAATAGTATTTTTTGGGAAACGTCAAAATTATATTGGAGAAATTTCATTGCTAAAATAATTTAAGTGTCTCTAATAAAAATAAAATAGTATTTTAACATAATATAATTATTTATTTAAATTCTAATCTAAAACTATATATCCTTTTAATGTCTTTTCTTCAATTACAAGGTTTAATGAATTTTAATTACACTCGAAAACGTTATACTTCTTCTGTTCCTAAAAGATTCATATTCTAGTTATTTCACATTTTTTAATAAAACATAATAAATTTGCATAGGTTTTGTATGTATCTTCTTTCCATAATTTAAAATCAATTAGTGTAATTAAGTTTTTTAAAGTTTACAATTAGTTAATAAAACATGCATTGAAAATGTAAAAATGAATCTTTTAGAAACAATTTTTTTTTCTAAAATATATGTCTTTAAGGAACGGAAGGAATAATATTTTCCTCAAACGCTGACAAAAAAAAAATTGAAAACTGAAAACAGAAGCTTTCTCCAACGATAATTGACAAAATATGTTTTTGATTGTACACTGAACGTGGCAGATTTCTGATTGGACTACAAAGATATTTTGGAGCTTGGAACCTAAGTTGCAGCTTTTATATTATTTTCTCGGATTTTCCAAAGAAAGATTCTTTTTTTTTTTTCCTGTAATAACCGCCATGGCGCCATCCCACCATTGACGGCAACATTAACATAAATTAGATGATGTTTTCAAATATTTATTTGTTTCAAAATATAAGATGTTTTGAAATTGTAAGATATAATTTAAGGTTTTAAAGTTACTTTTAACTTTATTGAAAAATATTTAACCAATAAATTTTTTATTCTTTTTTAATAATTAGTTGAATGATTTTAAAATTACACCTGTAAAAATATTGTTGTAAAAGAATGTTAATTTCTTAATCTTTGTGCAATGATCCAAAACATCATATATTAAGAAAGGGAGGAGTCAAATTTATCAATAAATAAATATAATTTGATTCTGCATACTATCCAATTTTATAATAATATTTATGAAACTTATAATATTATTAATATAAAATTTATAAATTTGTATTTTATTAACAATGTTTAAAAACATTATTATGTAACATTGTTAATTTATATATTTTTTTTATTTCTAAATTGAAATATATGTAAAAAGTAAATTAAGTTTGACCTACATCATATATAAACAAAATTTTGGGATATTTTTAAAAGTATTTTACATAACTTTAATCGTTTGTTTATAAATAAAAAGATTAAAATTTTAATTATATTTTCTGATAGTTAAAATTTTAATCAAATAATTTTTGAAACTATATTTTGGAAAGATTCTAAAAGATTTTGTTATAATTTTCTTAAAACTATTTATTTGTATTTCAAATAAAAACTAAAGATATGAAAAGATATTATAATGATGTTATTTAAAATTTTATAAAATTTCTAAGGATGGTCTAAACTAAAAAATCACACATGAAGTGAGTGATGACTTTGTTTTAATATAATAGACTAGATCTCAACCCACGCAACCGCGCAGGTATTTTTTTTTTTTTTTTATATTAACATTTTTTGTTTCTAAATTGGTAAATATTATATAAGGTGTGTATATCGAAAATGATGATTAATTATTATATAATATAGATTAATTATTGTTAGAAAATGATGATTTTGTTATTTTTAAAAATAAACTATATAATTTTTGAAGTTAATATTTATTAGCCCAATAAAAATTTCTAGTAAGCCCAATAAATGTTATTAATGAATCTAATGAATGTTATTAATGATTGAATGATGTAATGTCATTAATTCTATTAGATGGTCCATTTTAAAATATCACACATGAAGTGAAGTCATGACTTCTCTTTTAATATATAAGATTCTTGATTACTTTCTGCAAGATAACTATGTTTCGACCCTGCTTCAAAAAAAAAAACTATGTTTCGATCTAATATGGTTGTATTTTGCATATATTATTGGCCTGCGTAATAAATTCACTGAGCAGCTTAGGTAACTTGTAGGGCTGTTCAATATGGTAATACCGAACCGTACCGAACCGAACCAAACCGAAATAGACAATATGGTTTGGATTTGGTATATACCATATAAACCGAATGAATATGATTTTATAAAACCGTAGGATTTGGATATGCCAAATGCCTTCCAAAACCCGCCTTCGGTCCCTTTGGAAACAAAACTTTTTTCTGTTTTCAATTAAATATAAATATGCTGTTTATATCAGTTTAATTATAGCACTTTGCAAGTATAACACCTTGACATAACAGTTGCATACTAGGATTCCCTTTTCTAGTGTTTTCAGGTTCAATCCTGATACTTTCACAATTAATTCTTTTCTTGAAGTAAAGCCTTATGCTTACTCATTTTATTTTATGGAAACTCATCTTAAAAGTACCATAAGCTATCCTAGATAGGATATGTGTGTTTATTGTGATAACATATTTTAAGGGAAACACTTTCTTGATAAAACTACTGACAATGCTTCAAGACATCCTAAAATTTCTTTTATAGCAACTTAAATGAAACAAACGTCGTCATCATTCATTACAAACTTCTTACTTGTCCAAGTCAACATCAAAGTTCAAAAATATAGTCGACATGTATTGAATCTCCCATCGTGTTGCTGTCATCTGTAACCAAGCCAAAAAAATTCAGATTTTTTAGCATCGGATTTTCTGGAAGCATATCCTGAAACATTGAAACACTTTCCTAAATTTAAAAAAAATTATGGAAAGCTATCCTGAAACATTGAAACACCTTCCTGAACATAATTCTGAAGTCTACATGATCAATCATTTCCAAAATCTTAAAACGTGTTATAACCAACATAGTAAAAGAAAGTCTTAATAGCAAAAGTTTCAAAAGAGAAGTAGTTAGAGGTAGAATATCTATCATAAGAGGAAAAAAATTCAAATGTTCTAATATCGGATTTTCTGGATAGCTATCCTGAAATTTTGAAACACCTTCCTAAAATTAGAAAAAAAAAACAAAAACTCCATAAAGTTTCACACGCAAACTCATCTCAAGTTACACTCATGAACACTGGGATATCAAATAAAATACCACCACATAATCAACATTATCTAGAAAAGAACACAATCAAAAGTACATTACCTCAAAATTTTGTGTTTCATTAATTTAGCAGCTTTTGTTTGAGCTCCAACAAACGCAATAAAACTTTGTCTTTACCAGAACAACGTTTTAGGTAACAGTATTTCTCTTCAGCTACAAACAGTACCAAACATTCTAATGAGGTACTGAATCTCCCATAGTGTTACTATCCTACATAAACAAGCCAAATTTTTTTATGAAATTTTCTGGAAAGCTGTCATGAATCTTAAAAAACTCTTCCTAAAATCGAAAAAAACCAACAAAGTTTCACAAGTACAAGCAACAAGAGACTAACAATATCAGTAAGCAAATTCACAGGTCTATCAAAGATATTTTGTAAGCCAAACAAGACATCAAACAAAAATATTTCAAATTTGTTAACATCAGATTTTCGGGAAAGCTTTCCAGAAACTACCCAAATCCTTCATGAAATTAAAAAAAAAACACTAGTTCCCACAATTTAGCAGGTTTTGATTTGATCTCCAACAACTTCCAAGGACTTTTCCCTCGCTGAACAACAAACGCAACAGAGCTTCTCGGGTTAATAGTGATTCTCTTCAATTACAAAGAGTACCAAATAAATGTGTTCTTTAAGAATCAAAATCAAATCAAAATGTCCTTAAAGAGAACTTTATGTGTGTTCTTAACAAAG